TAAAACAAAAAATTAATTTTGCTATGAAGGTGTTTACAGAAACCTAAAAAAAATATGTCGGATTTTGATGAAGTCGGTGCTAATGCCGAAAGTGATTTGCCTGTTTTGCTCGCAAATTTGAAAAAGGCATGTGGACTTTGGTTCCATAATGGCTTTGCAGTTTCCGAGAAACTAGCTGGTGAAAAAACAAATTCATCCTATGACAACATAACAACAACCACGGTGGAGATATTGCGTCATGGATTGCGCTTAACTCCGGAAGATGCTGTGATGGTGAGTTGTAACATCGAGTTCAATGGAATGCTGGAAATGTTTCATAAACAAACAATGAGATATTTTCAACCATTAGTGTTTGGGGCGTAGTAATATTGAACTACCCTTCAAAAATGTATGTACGGACTATTTGTACGTAATCGAGAGTGGCTCCAAGTAAAATATAGATCTTTTCTATATAAATATGTATGTACATGCATACATAGTATGTATGTACAAGGTTTATAAACCTTGGAATAAACATATACATATACATACAAATATACACAACCGACTATTATCCATCAAATAGTATTTGCAATTTAATTTTTATATATAATACATATTTTTATTACACTTTAAGCCAAAGAATTTCTCGCCCGCTGACTTGCCTAGAGAAAAAGATTCCTTATATAAATTAGATGGCTTGAAAAAACTGATGGATGATTTTGAGTGGGTTTGCCGATCAGCACAGATTCGTGATTCCCTGCCAACGGATTTCTCGGAACTATCTGCTTTGTCAAATAAAAAGCATCAGCAAGATTCATTATTTACTGTACAAGATTATAAATGGTTTTTTGATTCTTGGGTACGACGTAATCTTAAGGCAAATTGTTTGAGTGTTTGTCTTCAGTTGCTAGTAGCAGAAAACGAACTATTGAATGCATATTACAAAGAAAATGCTTTCCTGCGAAATGAAGTGTACTCAACAGCGCTTATCATTTGTTTGTCGGCTGTGGAATTAAATCAATACAGCTTGTTGAGCCAAATTGAAACACAGCTTTATAGTGTTACATCCTCCATAGCTGCCGTTTCTGCCTTACCGGGTTTGAAACACAGACGTACTACATCACACTCTGTATTCTCTATTTCGCCGCCTAAGCACACAAAGGTTTGCGAAACAGACGTAATGAACGAGCCGCAATTTAATATAGAAAATAAAGACGACATAACGACAACCCAAAAGGTAATTAAATTACAAAATATAGGTATACATATGTTACATATGGGCATATCCACCAAAAGCGCAAAATTAAAACTGGTGATTTTTTTTAACTTAACAATAAGGCGTAAATTTGTATTTCTTATAAATATAAAAGCATTTTTAATTTTTCCAAATTTGGGCTAAAACATATATGTAGTAGGCACCTTTAAAAAAAGATGTTGTTTTCTAAGCCTTTGGCTAGTAATATTAACAGTTTCCTTTGCGTTTTTCGCCAATGTTTTTTTAAATAAAATTCATGAAATCGGCTTAAAAAATTATTTATTTAAAAAATGAGATCTTGTTTTAAATTAGTTTTTAAAACCAAACACGAATTCATTTCAGGGTAATAATAAATAACACCAATCACCAATCACCAATGATAGTGACATGCAAAAAATTTTCTTTAAAAATATTCACACTTTTAAAAAATATTTGTATTATGTAACATATTTCCCAATAGGGTCGCGCAATTAATACATTTATTATTCTACCATTTTTTCAAAGTATTGTTATTATAACTCATATTAATTATTATAACTCATATTAATTGATTAATCGCATAATCCACTTTTAAGCGCACTGCGCTAAAAATAAAATATATAACAGAGTAAGATCAGCTTTTGCCACAAATGAAATTGCAAATTTCACATTCAGCGGGAGTTGTCACAAACATCCATAACTCTACGAACCAAAGACATTCTTTGGCCTTCACTTCCACATTCAAAGAAAAAAAAATTTATGCAAATATCGTCCGTATTCTTTTATATTTGCTTGTATATTTGTACTTAAGGTCGGTGTTATGCAGACAAACTTTTGTTTGCCAAATTAAATGGCGGCTGCTTAGTTTGCTCGGAGGTGGTTATGTCGAGTTTGGCACAGGGTTGCACGTTCATTATGGTTTTCATGGCTATTGCCAACACGAAATGAGAATTTCAGATGTACATAACGCGCACAATTAATATATTTTTTATGATATCGTATAGGCAATTAACTGTGCCATAATCTTTGAAGCTCCCACAGCATAAATTCAGTTCTCTGGCTTTCGGTATCACGGCAATTTTTGTGTATAGCAACAATTGTCTAAAATTTTTGTATATGACAACACCGAATTTGCTGCAGTTTGACCAAACAAAATTAGTTTGCTGTGAGAGTCGCCAAACTCGCTCTCTCCGAGTTTGCTGCAACAACAATTGCACGCAGTTTGCCAAACAAAATTTCTGCATAACACCGACCTAACTGATTATACTTCCAAATTTGTTGAATATAGCACCTTCCCATTGCTTTTTAACAGTTATAATATACATAGAATCTTTCAGTTTCTTTTTTTTTAAGCTTAGTTAAACGCATGCGAATGTCGCGTCCGTAACCCAGGATATGCCCATATACTAAATTATTTAAAATTTTCAGACTGATACCCCCAACTCGTCATCTCAACTCATCGTTCCTGCTGTATCGACATTTCGAAAGACCAAAAGCCTTCCCGCTTTGCAACACAAACCTTGTGTATTTTTTGATTCTTTTAACGATGAAAAACCGAGACCGCGATGCAAAACAATGGTTAGCACACATCTGAAAACTAGTTCACCACAAGATATTCTATCACCGATTAAGGCGATCTCTACTACGTCTGTCAGTGAGAATGCATCGCATATAGCAAATGATGAATACTTTTCCAATTCAAATACGACCACAAATACGACAACCACAACGGGTTCATCGTACTGTGGCAGCGATTTAGCTGATATGGCCCTTCCCTCCACATCTCTTCAAAGTCAACAGAAATATTTTTTATTAACACCATCTTCAACGCACACACAGCCCACAGCTTCTTCCTACGCGTCAAGTGATTGTCGAATTGAGTTAATTAACTGTGATGATATTAAAATCTGGACCGATCAAGCCTACGATGAAACTCAAAACCAACAAACTGGACAGCAGGAAGAAGCGCCAACTACCGAGCCGTGTACCATTCCACAGAGGTTGGAACCGCTGAAACAGGTCAGACAATGTTGTTTATATAAAAATGTATAAAAACTGTAAATATAAATCTTTTTTCCTCCAGAAAGCGAAAAGCGCAAGTCCAATCGGCAGTTTCCTATGCAACCTTTTCAGTACTCCGCCAACATATACCCATTGGTCAATTCTCAATCAAACCGGTAGCAGTTGCGGTCTCAATTCAGAAGACACCGAAGGCAATGCTGTCGCTGCTGTATTTCCGTGTACTCTAGTACAACCTGCGGATATTTCGTCGAGCTCGACAGGTGGTATGTTCGATGCATTTATGCCTGTTTGTGGGAAAAAATTACGATCGCGAAACTCCCAAAGTCTATTCGAGGACAGCATTAGCACGCTTGATTATAAATCTCCCACCAATGAATCTTCAAACACAACATCATTGGAAAATGCCGCCAAACCAACTAAGGTTCCTAAAAAGTTATCAAAATGTCAACAAAGTTTGACTGATTTTTTGCAAACTTCGCAAATGTCTCGAAATAATACCGACTTGGAAAAGGAGAACGCTCATTTTCGAGTATCCGAAGCTATAATTTCAGCAATAGAACACATAAAATGGGATAACAGCAAGGATCCGGAGAAAAAATGGCGTCGGAGAAGAGGTTAGTGTTGATAAAATCGGAAGACGTTTCAAATACTTAAGATTTATTACACACTTTGTAGACGTAGTTCGATCAGCCGCAGCTGCATCCGCCACAGATTGCTTAGCTCCAGATGGCAAGGAAAAAAATGGTTATCGACCAAATTTTGAGACAGAGGTATATACTCATAATTTGCAATGTGAAATTAAATATAGAGACCAAATTATTTAGTCTTCTTACGATGAATCCAGTGAGCACATTCCTTATGCAGAATTAGGCGAAAGTTGTCTTGATTTACTCTCCGCAGAAGTGATAGGCCTTTCAATAATTTCGAAATTTAGTGACAAACATCTTCCGAAAGTATCAGAGCTGAAATGGCTAGTCTCGGAGGAAGATACGCCACAACAACTCCTACCAATGCCTGATGATAGCCCTACAGCGAATCCTGATGAAAATGTTATACGCCCAATCACACGGGGTACTCGCTATTGGGCACCACCACGTCAACAAATTATCTTCACGGATCATCCATCGGCGAGGTTGGTTGTTACTTTTGTTCGTAATATCGAACAAATCCAAATTTAAAGTGTGTTTCTCTTGTTATAGTCGTAAGGAGTTGATATTGAAACAGAACAGCCGCTGCGCAGGATGTGGAATGCGAGTATCACGGCAATATATCAATAGCTTTCGATATTGTACGTATCTCGGCAAGTATCATTGTACCGGTTGTCATCGCAATCAAATATCACCGATTCCTGCAAAAATTTTACGATCGTAAGTCGACTTGATAAAGGACTTGATTTTTTATTAATGTCTGTTTAATAATTTCTGTTTCACCCGCCAATGGTTTTTTCTTTCATTAAAGCTGGGATTTTAAGTGCTATCCAGTAAGTGTTTTTTCCTATCGTTTGTTGGAACAGATGTACACGTATCCCTTATTCTATGTACCGGACTTAAACCCTGTGCTTTACGTCGACAATAAAGCACTGCTATCTGCTCGGAGAAAACGGATCCACCTACAATTTGTCAAAGATTTTATAAAAACTTGCCGATTCGCAGTCAGGTAATTAAAAAATATAGATGAAACTTAAAATTACCAACTAATATTTTATATATTTTATTTTCAGAGATCACGTATACTTTGAAAGCATACCTGAACACATAACGAATGATCCAGACATTTGGTCACTATCAGACTTTATTGATGTGCACAATAAGAGTATGCAGCGCTCCATTGACCAACTAATCGAGAAATGCGAACATCATATATTTAACTGTGTGGTGAGTTGCAGTAACGAACATAAGAATTAATTTGATTAAATAAAAACTTTACATAAAAATTTCACGATTTTTTAAATCCCAGCTCTGCACTGCCCGCGGCTTCCACTGTGAGTACTGCCAGAAGGATCAGGTAATTTATCCATGGCAGCCTAAAGTATTTCGCTGTGATTGCTGCGGATCATGCTTTCATTTAAACTGCTGGAAATTGATGTCAAATACATGCTGCAGATGCCAAAGAATCAACAAAAGGCAGGAGATTGCAGTTATTTGAGACGCAGCTCAAGCGCCAGCTTTGAATATGCGGATGTACCTTAACTCGAATTTGTATACGATAAAAAAAAGTTGTGGTCTTGCGTGTTTAAACACAAATTTTTACAAAAGTATGTGTATGTATGTATTTTAGTTAAATGTAATCCTTATATGTTTGTTGCATAAGATACGCTAACCGAAATAACAATTAGTACAGGTATTTTATATATTTTAGGAAAATATATCATAGCTACAATGATATATATGTAAATATTTGGTTTATTAATGGAGAAAACAGCTGCTCCTGCATATCCTGTAGAACCTGTGAAGCATCTGGAACGAAACTATTGTGTGTTTTGCTTGTTCGTATAGAGGGCAATCGTTGAGGATGTGTTGCAATGTTTGGTATGCAGTTTTCGCAGTGTTGGGTTTTCTTCGATTTTCCTAAATTTCGTATAAAGTTTGGAACTGTGATTTATGTTTTTGGTTGATCTTAGACGGTATTTTTATCGAAAAATAACAAACAAAATTAGATTGAAAAACATTACGAATATTTAAAAAAAAATTAACACGTGGTCACCCTGCAAGACAGCTGAGCATCAAATAAGTGCTCATTTTATCCAAGAATGATAGATGTATTCTCTCAATCGTGCATTTTATCACTATCACTAATTACAAAAATGCTTATTAAAATACTCATTTTTGTCCAGGCGATGCACTGAGCACTTTCCCCTTGGTATAATATTTTACCTTTTCTTACTAATTGAAAACTTTGATTAATGAAAAATATATCTGCTCTGCTCTAGAAACTACCAAACTACTTATTTTCGTTTTTTAAACACATCAGTGCTAATGAATAAAGTACTCATTGTATCCATGTCTAATATTTACAAAGAACGTGGATAACAAGAAGGGACAACTCGTTATAATTGTGGTGAAAGTGCGCAACAGGGGCGTGCTTTCCCTACAAGAAATCTTACTGGCAAATGACCGGTCACCTGACGGTCAGTGCTGATGCAACAATGCGGCAATTTCCTCATCAGAATTTCGGGGGGTAATATGAAAAACGTGACCGGTTTTTTTGTGTACATGTGACTATGCGTCCCTTTCTCACATCGCGAAAGGTCTCTTTTCTACTTATTGGATTTCCTAAGATTATTTTTACAAATATTTTTCTGTGCATTGGTGTATATTTTATTGTGTTAGTGAAGAGGTCAGAAAAAAAGTCCTCTTCTTGTAGGATTCCCTTTCGCAACAATTATAACGAGTTGTCCCTTCTCGTTATCTACGTTCTTTGATGAAACATAACGTCGCCTGGGTAAAAGATTGTCGTATGTTACGCACGAACGTATGACGCTTACGACAATCTTTTACCCAGGCGACGATAATTAGTGCAAAGAACGTTGATAACAACAAAGAACTTAGATGATCGAAATGGCTTAAGTTGCAAGTTTTTACTAGTTTTGCGTTCGATAACTTTTTCTGAACATTTTCTCTTGCTCTCAATTTTTCTCTATTTTTCATTTACGCCTCGCTGCAAGTACTTACTGGAAAAGTTATTGAATGGACCTATTTTATACGTGATATGTGAACAAAGCAGAACCGGCCATAATTTGACACACGCGTGCTCTTAAAAAGCATGGCTTCTATCGCCATCACCTTTAGTCGATACGCCTTGTTTCTACGTATTTCTACGCTACGCTACGTACACGTTCATGGTTAATCGCGCTCTTAGCACAGAAATCAGCTGTTTGTCAACAAAACATGCCAAACGTGTTATTCCAACATTCTTGATTTTTTACATGAAATATCATTTCTTTTGAATTTTACATAGTTAAAGTATATGAGATTTAAAAGTTTTCTACGCTTATTGCAAAATATGACATTAGGTGAAAAGGCCACACAATTAGACTACCGAAATAAGGTAATAATGGCACCAATGGTACGTGTTGGAACACTGCCTATGCGCTTGCTGGCTCTTGAATCCGGAGCAGACATCGTTTATACAGAGGAGTTAGTCGATTTGAAGCTAATACGTAGTAAAAGGCGTGTCAATGGTAAATGAAATATCAAACTGAAAAATATAAGTATTTATAAATGTCATTTATTCAACTTTGTAGCTGCATTGGGCACTGTCGACTTTGTCGATCGTAGTGATGGCACAATTGTATTTCGAACGTGTGCAAAAGAACGTCAGCAAGTAGTGCTACAGTTGGGCACTAGTGACGCTGAACGTGCGTTGGCTGTAGGAAAATTGGTAGAACATGACATTGCAGGTTTAGACATAAATATGGGCTGTCCCAAAGAATTCTCCATAAAGGGTGGTATGGGTGTGGCGCTACTTGGGCAACCAGATAAAGCGGAGCACATTTTGAAAACACTTTGTAAAAACCTCAGCATTCCTGTGACCTGCAAAATTAGGTAAATTAAAAAACAAAGAGCGCACGATTTCGAAACGAACTAATTGTAAAGCATTTTTGCAGAATATTACCGGATTTGAATGATACAGTTAAACTCGTGCAGCGCTTTGCTGCTGCGGGCATCGCTGCGATAGCAGTGCATGCTCGTACACGTGATGAGCGGCCACAGCACGCACCACATCCAGGTGAATGAGAAAACATCAATTTTTTGTAACACAATTTATAACTTTTATTACCTTTCAAAAGAATTCATACGCGAAATCGCAAGGGCTGTTGATATACCTGTGATTGCGAACGGCGGTTCAAGGGAGATTCAAAAATATAAAGATATATTAAGCTTTCGTGATTTATGCGGTGCAACTAGCGTTATGGTTGCAAGAGCAGCGCAGTTGAACGTTTCCATATTTCGGAAAGAAGGTAAAACTTTTCACAATACGAACCTTTGCTCATACATATCAATAGCTTAGAGAGAAAAGTTGCTAAGTCCGTTTTTACGAAAACTCATGTCTTAATATAGGAAGCAAGAGAAATTAAAAATGCATCTTCGAAAGGGAAGGCAAATATGCTAAGTGCAAAAGATGCAACAAAATAATATGAATCTTTTAATAAAGACCGAATCCTTCTGATTCGTATAGAGTTTTGCGTTGCAAAACGAGAAATGGCGCATTAAAAGTTTAGCGAAATACTTGAAGAAAATGGCTTTTAGAAATTTTTTTGTCTCTTATAAAATTTGAAAAAATTTACTTATCAACTTTTTACTCTTAAGCTAGCTACATATATAAATACCACAGTTGTGAAATACGAATTTATTTTAAATGCATTAATGGTTATTAAAGCAATAATGTTAATGTCAAAATTTATGCATTAATTTTTAGGATTTGATGCAATAAAAAATTTCAATGCATTAATTTTGAAAAATATAATTCTAATAAAATTTGTTTTCATTAAACTATCCATACTAATGCTAATGAAAACGCAAATACATTTTTAATAATTTTGCTCGTTCACATTGTTGAAACCCTTAAATTTCTAGCGTTTTTTCGAGCTATGTACATTCAAATATGGGTCACGTAGTATGGGTACGTTTCCTAATGCAAAAAAAATCATTAGCAATATTTCTTGGAAATTAGTGCATTTAAATTTTAAATTTCAAAAATTAATGCATTAATTTTTTACATTAACATTAAAATGCTATGCATTAAAAATTAATGCATTTTGCACAACTCTGATACATACATACATATGTATATATAAAATTAAAAAGCATTCTAAACCCTTTCAAGGCATGCTGCCAATGGATGATATTATTGTGAAGTATTTGAAACTAAGTGTCGACTATGACAATGCCGCGCACAACACTAAGTATTGTGTGCAAAATATATTAAAAGAATTGCAAGAGACTCCGCGAGGTAAACAATTCTTACAATGTCAAACGCTGCAACAAATGTGGTAAACGGTTGTTTTTATTCAATATTTTGTTTTAAAAAATTTTTTTGAATTTCAGTGAAATCTGGTCGCTTGGAGATTATTGCTATCGCAAACAATTAGAGTTAAAAAGGCGCGGCAATTTTGGAAGACGAGAAGTAGCGCCCGGTGTGATACCTGACGACGATACTGCAGAAAGTCCGGATGCGAAGCGCCAAAAAAAGGATGCTCTGTCTTTGGACGCCGATGTTATACAACATAATATTGCATTTTTGCGCTCGAACTACAACAGTGGTTAGTTCAAGTCATATAATAGCAACACGTCTACATGTTAAATAATATTTTCTGTTTTAATAGATACTAAACTGCCCAAAACAATGCTTTACACTTATGCTGGCCGCAAAAGCAAAGATATTCCGCACTACGAAACACAGCGTGTCGACAAACTATTCCGTGCAATTTGTTCCTTTGATGGTAAACGATATACAAGTTCATTTTGGGAGAAAAATAAGAAGCAGGCAGAACAAGGAGCCGCACTTGTGTGCCTGCTCGACATAGGCGTTGTAAGTGAAGATGACTTGATTAAGAATGGCAGCATTTTGCGATGATGAAATTTCGTTTACAATGTTATGCATACTTCATATTTTTTTGTTCTAGGCGATGCAATTAGAGTTTTACATATTTACAAATATATTAAAAGACTTAGTTAACTTGTCTAAAAAGTTGGTTTAATTATTTTCAACAATTGTTTTAATAGTACATATGTACGTCGATCTACGCATACTTTCTTTTACGTATAACGCATTTAATTAAATTAATATTTCCAAAAATGGTTTCTGCCTTTTAAAAGCGTGCGTATGACCGCAAATGCATTATAAAAAATATGCGATTTTATGCGGAAGTTATTTGCGAATGGTGTGCATTACGCATGCTTAAAAATAATATTTGTTCCCTCTTCAACCGCATTGACTAATTTATTCGGGATTATGATGTTCCTCTTTTTGATAATGATGGTCATGTTCTTGCTGTAGTTGCACATGTGGCTGGCGGTGTTGCTGTTGTGGATGTTGCTGCTGTGGGTGCTGCTGCTGTGGGTGATGCTGACTTGTCTGCGGATGATGTGGGTGACGTTGGGGTGGCGGCATCATATCGTTATCATCGCGAAAGCCATAGTTGGCAATAAAGTCAAGTAAAATAGACTTTGTTATCGGATGACGTATACTTTCGCAAACCGCTATAAAATATTATTAATAAAATAATAAATACTTAAGCATATTTGAGTAAAAATATATGCATCTCCTACATTGGGCTGTATTAAAACTATTTGGCAATAGTTTGTCCGTGCGCTCACGCATAAATATCCATAGGCCCTGCGGATTCACAGAGCATTCAATTATCTTATTATCCAAATCCTTTAGTGCCTTCGTATATTTAATTTTACCGAATGGCTGATCAAACCCTCCAACGTATAATAGGCCCACCTTTTCGGTTAACATTCTAAAACCAACAAATATTTTAAAAAGTTTAGCAAAGCAAGAAATAAATTGAAACTGACCCCATGCCGCTTTCCACAGTAATTTTAAGTCGAAAATCTACAGAGTTCATATGAAACGGTTTCCACTTAAGTACATCCGCACATACACCTGCCGTGTAAGGCTAAAATCGAAAAATAATATTATGTAGGTACCTATATTTTAACATTGTTTGGCTACATTGCTTACTTGTTTTGAGGGCTGAAAAATAAGTCCATCTGGCTCATGCAATAACGACTTGGCAAACTTTTCACCAAGTAGAGAGGCAGATTGCCGTATGTCCCAAAAGTCTTTATGACGTATGCTGAAAGGTTCCAAGGGCCTATTAATCAAACCTTTCATTATAGCCTCATAGCGGGGATCTAAAAATTAAAAGGTGTAACACATGTTTGCCAAAATAGCATTTTTGGTAGTCAACATACCAATAATTTCTTTTCGTATGCAACGGAGGCGATCCGGAAAGAATGGCTTAGTGCCAATGTCATTATTGGATAACGTTACTATGTCGTAAATCAGGTATCGCGGTATGGATTGACCGTTGAGTTTGTCGATTACCATTTCCTAAACATACGAAAAAATTCAATAGTTAATGCGAAAAAATTTATTATATCACTTTACCCCATCTAGAAGCGTGTTCTCCAAGTGCTGATCGAGGTTACCAGCTTTTACAAAGGTCAAGTTTTCGACTTGAAAGCACGAGTTATTGCGATCAAAAAAGTAAATCTCATCACGTTTATTGATAAGCATCATATACCTGTTGTAAACGTAGGTCTTATGAAATGTAATAAAATTTCAAATAGTTAAGAGCATTTTTCCTACCGCGTTCCATCAGCTTTCCAAGATACCATATACGGTATCTCGTGCAATCGTTTTAGATTATTTTTATCCATAGAAACTGGTTGACAACCGGGGAATCCATTTTTCTCCCAGCTGCAAATTTCTTGAACCTTCAACTGCAATTCGCCCAGTCTTGGTTGATCGGTAACTTGCACTATCCCAGGCACACCGCTCATAAATGTTGCATTTTTAATTAAAATCTCCTTGCGGCGTTTCTTTTTACGGTTACCGCCGTTAGAAACACCCGCTCCATTAAAATCACCACTTTCGTTATTTTGTGTGGTTCCTTCTGCCTGGTCGTCTTCATCGCAATCTCCCTCCTGGTCTTCGCCGGCACCCTCACCACCATTGACATGGTTTAAAGCGGAATGTTGCGAAGTAGAGGACATTTCCGGAGCCTTTCGTTTTTGCGACACATCGCTATTCACGTCGCTTCCATCACCGTCATCATACTCCAAGCACCAATTTGGCAATGCAGGAGCCATCAAAGCATCTTCCTCATCCTCGTAACGACGGAATAGTTCATTGATATAGTCCTGCTTGTATATACCTGGAGGACGCGCTTCCGCAAATATGGCCAATGCTGTTTCGATTGAGTAATCAAGACGTTCTACTAAATAAGAAGCGATCAAAAATCCGGTTCGATTGAAGCCATGCGTACAATGTACGGCTACAATATCAAAAGGACGCTCGTTTATGAAATTGTCAACAATCTCAATAAATGACTGTGTTTGTTCTGGTGAAGGAGTCTCCCCGTGACCTCGACACTGCAACTTTACGTACTGAGCATCGTTTTTTTCAACCACTTGGCGATCGTAAAAACGCTTTGTGTTGGTTAAATCGATCCAAAGTCCCAATTTTATCTGAAAGTAATAACCTTTCTTTAAGCTGGAATGGAAAGCTATGCTTCTAAAGCAAAGTGTATACATGATATATACGTATGTACATACACATCTGATGTGTATGCAGTATAGGCGACACGTTGCAGAGTAATAACATACCTTTATTGTTTTGCAATAGCTAAAAATCATTTCTGGACGAAAAAGGCATTCTATTGGCATCTGGTCGTCGAATGCGTTGCTCAATGGTGTTTTAAATGCCAAAAAACGTTCGGCAATGATTTTTTCACTCTTTCGGGGACAATGCAGCCAACGATTTGGTAGCGGACCAGGTCCACCCCTGGAGTTTCGAGACATATTTCAATTATTGAGCACTTAATACACCTAAGATCAACGGTGTGTGCTTGGGAGCACTACAATGATTAGCACTAATTTATTTCAAACTGCACAGATCTTAGTAAGTATTTTAATCAATTAAACCACTTCACTGTAAAATAAAATTCACTCAAAACGCTGTCACACACAGCTGATATACGAAAAATTGGAAATGATAGAAACAAAATTCCTTTACTCGATAGCTTTCTATCAGTATTATCGAATTAAAGCTGAAGCTTCATTTAAGATCGAAATATACGGCACTAGCTGTGTGTCGAACATGAAAATGTAAGGCCGATTAAGAACAGAAACTCCCTGGGAGTTTTCTCTCTTTTCCCTTTCCTCCTATCACGAATAAAATTTCCCTGAGGATTTTTTTACATTAAATGGCGGAGTTGAGCTCTCGAAAAGCTGTCAAACAGCATTTGCGAAGTTCGAATTTTCTCCTCCCAAATTTTCGGCGAAAATGCTACTCCCTGGAAGGTTTGGCCAAAGAAGGTAAATCTTTAAGAAGAGGCAACTCGCTGAAGTGTGGCGAGTGAGTCTAGAAGGTTCGCAGGAGGAATTCGCGTCCGTTTTGACATAAAGTTTCGTAAATGAATTCACCGCAAATTTGATTTCGGCGACAAAGAACGTTGAAGAAAGAGTGATCGATGATAGAAATAAAGAAATGAAATTACAAAAAAGACGGCGACGACTCCTTTTTTTATTTGCCATCGGCATTTAACATGCGCATGTGCGTAGATTNGTATGGGGGTGTTTGAAGGTTTGACAAACCGCTTGAGGGAAATTTGAGCAAAAATCAAAATTTTTTGATTTTCTGGCCGCCATGTTGATGTTTGATCAAACCGCTTGCGTTGTGTATAGCAAAATCGCCTCATTCGCAACGAAATTTTCACCGAGTAAGGACGTAAGAGAGGAAAATGAAAGAAAACCATAATATTTAGCATTGCGAACTGGAAGAAAACTAAAATTCTTTGCTTGAACGAGTCATGTTTGCATGGTGTATGGCGAAATGGGAAAAGTAGGTTTGAAGAATGTTTGACAAGCCGCTTGTGTATTTCGCTCTTTACCAAAGAAGATTTTTTCTCTACGTTCTTTGTCGCCGCGAAACCAAATTTGCGGCGAATTCATTTACGAAACTTGATGTCAAAATGGACTCGAATTCCTCTTGCAAACCTTCCAGACTCACTCGCCACACTTCAGCGAGTTGTCTCTTATAGATTTACGTTCTTTGTTACTACTTTCAGGTCATGTACCGTACCGCGCCTGATTGAGCTGGCATTAAATATATTTACTTTAGACACCCTGTGAAAGAACTTAATTCATGTTTTTAGCCCTCTTTGTCGTACCATTTCCACTTTACTTTGCCCATTGCAATACATAATTTTGAGTTGCTGTTTTGTGGAAGGATTTCCCTGGCTCAAAGAAATAGCAAAGTTCAGCTTATTAATTTAATAAAAAGATAAACTGTAGCACATAATGTCCGATACAGAGAAAAATATACCAGAAGGGTGGGAAGTACGCAAGAGTCGTTCAACCGGTACGTACTAAAATTTTCATTTTGTGTATGTTGGCCGGTAGAATTGATGCGAAACCGTGTCGTCTGCTTGTTATAAGCTTTTGTATACATAGATACATATGTATGTATGCACACATGTATATTAATTTCATTAACTAAGAATTCAACGTGTTTAAAAATTTATTTCGCAGGATTGACATACTATTTGAATATCTATACAAAGGAGTCTCAATGGGATTTGCCGACAGAGCCAGCAAAAAAGGAATCGTCAGGACCCAGTGAAGTGCGTTGTTCCCATCTGCTTGTCAAACATAAAGGGAGTCGTCGGCCTAGCTCGTGGCGGGAAGAGAACATAACGCGATCCAAGGAAGAAGCACGTGCGATTTTGGAGGATTATCGCAAGCAAATTGAGTCTGGTGAGATCACACTTGCCGCCCTTGCAACTAAATATTCAGACTGCAGCTCTGCCAAACGTGGCGGCGATTTAGGTCCATTTGGCAAAGGTGGGAAAAATTATCAACTAATGGAAAACCGTATTTAAGTTATTTTAACTGCTTTCAGGCCAAATGCAAAAAGCATTTGAAGATGCAGCATTTAGTTTGAAGGTTGGACAAATGTCGAAAATTGTAGACACCGATTCCGGATTGCACATAATTTTACGAACGGAATGAACGTGGAATTTAATTAATCTGTTCAAATCTCTTCCCCATTTAGGACCATTTAAATGAAAATGCATTTGAACTTTATGAAAGACTTAACCTTCCTTCTTTATCTTCTTTCGTAAATGTTATTTGCTTCCCTATTACATCCATAGCATGGACTCTACAAATAATTCATAAAAGTGAAGTACACACATGAAAGAAGAAAATTAAAATGAATCACACTATACTAAAATATATTAAAACTCCATTTTATTCAGTAATAATTTTTGACCTGCTCCCGTCCCCTCTTTCAGGACTTGATGTAGTGGTTTCAGTAGATCTTTAAGAATCGACTTTGTTGATTCAGTATTTTGCTCGAAAGTGTTCAGCAGGATAAAACAGGCGCGGTTTACATTTACCCAATTTTTTAGCTAAAACAATAATTGGATTAAAAAAAAAATAATATCCAAATTAAATTTGTGTATGTTTCTTACCGTTTCTTCGTTTAATTTTTGTACAAGTATCGAACCAAAAGTTTGCGCTTCGCTGTTTTGTGTTAGGCGCTCCTTATCATTTTTGATAATCTTTTTCAATACGATGTGCAGGCCCGACTCTTCGATGCCAGGGATTGTGACAGCTTCCTTCTGAAAAATAAGAGGTTTTCCTATTTCGTACTTTGGCCAATATTGTATACTTTACTTCTTTCTTTTTATCAACTTCGTCGTCAGTAGAATCATTCTGTTCATTTTCCTCAAAACTAGGCTCCAATCGTTTTTGCTTCTTTGCTTTTGTAGCATCCGATATTATTTTTTCCACGTCGTGAACAATCTTTTTGTTTTTAATTTTTGGTTCTTCTTCTACAGTTAGGGCCCATGATGGGTCCACAATAACATCGGCTATTGCAGAGGTGGCTTTCTCAAAGTGTTCTTGACTTACTGTGAGGTAAAGGTATTTAGTACTTCAAAAAAACCTACTGAAAAATTGTCAATTTGTTACATTTTTTTAATATCTCAGCTGTGACTAGGCCAATATGTCGATTAGACAGCCAAAATTTGGCATTATCAGCAATCGCATTAGCTAAGGATTCTTCAATTTGCTCGAATATTTCCTTGCGTCGAATGTCTTTGTCCTTTTTGCCATATTGCAAACCATCCTCTATATTAGCTATGAAACTCGGATGAAAGCAGTTAGTATCTGCAGGCGCCACCAGCCATTCAATGACGCGACGACCCCATTGATTTGCCATCAGGGTTTCCAATTCAGGATGCAGCGTATCATATATGGCTTTTTTAGTTGCCTTAGTGTCATCTAGCGAGTTTACTAATGCAAGTAAAAATATATGCCCATGCTCATGTGTACAAATTTTAACCAGGTGTTCCTTAATTGTTTTTATTATAGCCTGAACCAGTAAAAGTTTAGTTTGTAAATTGTATTTGAAGATTTTAAATTTAACATTTGTACTTACTCGCCGATTCTTGGGTGTTGACTTATAAAAACAGATTGTCGCTGATTGGGTGCCATCCTTCGTAGTCAGCATAAGCGGTATAAGAGGTGCAAAGGAACTTACTGTTTCTTCTATTTTGTCATCCTCACACTCTCCTAAATATTCTAAAATTACTGCATGAACTAGGGAATTATCTACCAATTGCTTGTTGGCCAAATGATCCAGGTTAGATTTAACCGCGCCTAAAATTGATCTTTTCATATTAAGAGTATTTTTGTAGGTATCGGCAAGAGTTTTCACGTTGTCGTCTTTGGAACTTCGATACAATTCTCCATAGAATTCTTGGCGTAGATAACCACGTTGTTTTGGATTGGCTACAGCATGATAGACATGGTCAAGAATTTTACTCGATATATTATGTCCAGCTAAACGTACTACATTTCCCATAAAACTATCGACCAGTTTTGACTTGATAGTGGGCGAACCGTATTTGAACATCCGGAGAACACAGAAGTGTGAATACTTGGATACAGACATTTCCACAGCGAGTGGTAACAATTTCTACCAACATATTTTAAGTTATTGTTATTTAAAGTTTTACATAATGTTCTTATATCTGAATTTACCTCCGAAATTTGATCTCGAATCGCGGGCGAAGCATACTTCAACATGCATTGGATGATGCGAGCTGTGTCATGAGCCATTATCAACTTTTTGATCACATCGCCACGGTTCAAAACATTGTACAGCTTTTCTACCAACTCTGATTTATTTTCAGTACGACGACTATAATATAAGAAATGCTTATAAGTACATATGTAAAATATTTAAAACTTTTCCAGGCAAACATATGTGAATATGATATTACCATTTAAGCTTTTCGTAAATTTGCTTCGCCTCAACAGACACTTCATATGAATCTTTGGCTTGTTTTCGTTTAAGTTTTAATTCTTTTTTCTCTTGTTTAAATTTGCGCCAGTCCGTTTTTTCGCCCTCACCTGGTGCTGCTCCCTTTAAACCTGGCTTTTTACCATTTTTACCAAACTTGTCAAGTCCCCGAGGTTGTCCTGCGCCAGGTTTTCCCAATGACTTTGGAGCAAATTTGTCTTTCACCATCTTTCCTATAGCATTTCGTTGAGAGGTCTTGGCAAATTTATTTGCCTTCGACGAGCCGTCAGTTTTCGGCGGTTTATTTTTCCCTTTATCCAATTCCAATTTTTGTGACTTCTTTTTTATTGGACCATCACCCCTATTATCCGACAGACGCTTCTTAGTTTTAATCATTTTAAGTTCCAATTATTTTTTATTTAACAAAATCTTTAACAAAAACTGAATCCACGTGTGTATAAAAAGATGTTTTCATTTTTTGACAGCTGCAACAGCGAAGTCCTTCCTTAATGCAACTCTGTTAATTCATTTTTCGTTTCGTTGCGCACCGTTTCGTTCCAACCGAAACGGTCAACGTTGCGCGTTTATAAATTTCTGTACTCCTTTTTCAGCGCTTCTGTTTTTTGGCACAATTTTTCACGGCGTCTTCGAAAATAAAGGTACGTTTTGTAGGTAAATCTTAATCTTCCAACAATTATTTTATCTTTGTTGAGGCAAATTTCTACAGAAATCCGAAGCTGAACAAACATTTAATATCAAAAGGGTAAGAATTGTGCGAAAAAACATTTTAAAGTTATCAAGCGGGGAAAATTAAAATGGGTAGAGTGCATAAGAAGAAAATCGCAGAATATGCGGAATCTGCTGAAAATGAGAATGAACAAGATGAGGAAGCTAAAAAGAGCGCCACGGTGGAGTCCAACAGCGATGAATCGGAAGTTGATGGGGGTGCCGAGGAGGGTGATGACGGAAAGAAAAAGCCAAGCGTTGTAAGAGATCGAACTCATCCCGAAGGGAATACCGATGATGAATTCCATTCTGTACAGGGTAGCGCCACCGAAGATGACCAAGAGGATGGTAGCAGCGGTACAGTCGGCAAAAAGGCTAATAAGCGCAAAGCAGCGCCAGAAAAACTAACCGATGGTGCCGATGATAATGTGGATAGCGAGGATGAACCATTAAATGGCGGCGGCGGAGGTGGAAGTGCAAAGAAAGGGCGGAAGCCGGCAGGAGGCGGAAAACAAAAAACGGCTGGCAAAAATGGTAAAGCCACTGGTAGGCGTGGCAAAGGGAAGAAGGCACAAGCAAAGGTAGACGAGGAGGAGGGAGATGGTGAGGGTGAGGAAGTCTACGAGGTGAGTAGAGGTTATGTTTTATAATATACATACATACAAACATTAAAATATCGATACTCGATTACTATTCAGCTTCGATCAGTCGTTTTTCGATAAAAATTTAACAAATATTAGGGGTTTTCATCTAAAGAGATAAAGGGATAAATTGCTTAAATGTATCAGTTTATCCGTATTCTTTCATGAACGCCCCTTGGTAAATAATTTCCATAATATTGTTTATTATTTAACTTATATGGCTAGTTAGTTCGTCCATTGTACTAATTTGGTTTCATGTGTTCGTAGCAAATGCGACCACCTGGCAACCTGTAAGGGTTGAATTTTGCTGAAATTTATACAAAAACGTTTGATGTAGTGATAAAGTTTGGTTAAGTAGATTTCCATACAAAGTTTGACAGTTCGTTTATCAAAAGGGTACTGTTTATGAATTTGTGCAACGATTTTTGGTTGTGTGTGGAGGTGACTTCATAAAGCGGCGTTCGTTTAGGGGGGAGGTTGGGGGCTATGCCCCCTTCCCCTCCGCCACCCACCCGTAAATCGTTGTACAAATAGCTAAACATTTCCCTATCAAAATGGTAAATTTATATTTATATAAAGTTTAATAACAGTTTATTACTTTTTATGAAGACACCTCTTGGAGTGATTTCAAGTAGAAATATAGAAAAAATGCGCTTTGCAATCAAACATAGAAGTATGAAATGTTTTCTCGCAAGAGATTTTAAATTTATTGATGGTTTACCTGTTTGAAATTTCTGTTTTCTTAAGTCTTCCATATTCCAGAATACATTGATTTTTCTTTTAACACTTGCAAACAATTTTATTTATTTGCTATAAGGTTAAGGACATAGTAAGCCACAAAGTAGAACATGGTGTTACTTACTACTTAATACGCTGGAAGGGCTATACTAAAGATGACGACACCTGGGAGCCTGAGGATACGTTGTCGTGTCCGGACATAATTGAAAGATACAAAAATAAAGTAAGTACATTGTAAAAAATAAAATGTCACACCAACAATGATTGTATCATTAGCAATCGCCAAGTAAATCGAGCAAAAAGAGTGGCGTGGCTGCTAAGAAAGGACGTCCAGTAAAGGGACAATTGGCAGCTGATCCAAATAAAGAGTGGGAGGTTGATAAGATAATAGACTACGCCGAGGAGAAGAATCAACGTATATTTCGTATACGTTGGAAGGGATTTGGCCCTAAACATGACACATGGGAACCAGAAGCGAATTTGTCATGTGACGAAATTATCGATAAGTTTATGAAACGAATGAAATCACAAGAAAATGTATCGTTCAAAGAACTTCGCGAGGAGCCGAAAAAGACAAAACGGCTCGTGAACCAAACGCTACCACGTACAAATTATCATAATCCGATTGGACGCAAATCAAAGCGCGCAGTCTCGAAGAAGAGGTAATTACTGAAATTACTTTAAAATTGCTTTAAGAGTAAGAGTGTTACTTTCCAGGGTTTATTATGGCGATAGCGATGAGTAATTTGAAAGTGGTGACATAGTTTAAGATGACTTAATGGTGTTTTTGTTTTCCTAAATCATCGCTTTTTTACTGAAACGACACCTTAGCATGTTGCAGCATTGTTTTGATCTTTCTATTGTGCATTTCAAACTTTACGTACATAAAAGATCTGCATTTCATTGATGATATGTTTTACCGGCAGCAAAAACTACAAAATAAAACAAAAATTACATATAAATTTGTTAGAATTATCTAAATTCTAACTTCAGAATGAATTATTAAATAAAAAAAGTTAATTGAACTTTTCTGGTGGCATGCTGTAGGTGTTCTAGGCAATACGTTTATTAATGTATGCATAATTAATTATAAAGGAAACATCGCATTAAGCGTTTTATCAACAATATAAAATTGAATAAAATTATTTTATCAAGAGAAGATTACCCAATTCTAGAAATTGTAATCTTGAATTATATAAAACTATGATTCTGCTCGTTTTTAAGAATAAATATAAATGAGTAAAAGCACTACGTCTTTTTTTATGTAAGATAGATATGTTACTGGCGAAAGGGAGTACCCACTAGGAAGGTTGGAATACTATTGGAGTGCCAGCCCTTGACCAGATTACAATCCGTGTCGTTTTGGTTATGCAGACCGATTGAGCTTGTCGACGGCGACCCTTGCTAAGTGCCTAATGATTGAATTACTCTTGCTAAATTATCGCACTACGATAGATTCAGTGATAGCTCCAAGTGCTTATCATTTGAGAGCAGTAAATATTATTTTCCCTGTCGTATACATGTGTAGGTATGCATATAGATTTGCACTTCGTTTTTTTTTTTTATTCAGGGCTATCACAATCGATTGTAGTTCGATTTTTCGTGAAATCTAGGAAAATGCATTTACATATGCACGTTGAAATGAAAATCGGACTACGATGAATTCAGCGATAGCCAAGATTAATTACGGACAAGTAATATAGGCTGCTATGTTCAGAAATGGCATCATAGTTTAGAAATAAAATAGTCTGATGGTTTGGCTTGATTCATTTCTAAAAACGGATAGTTTCAAAATTAATCCAACGTTCATTTTACTTTTGTTATCTATTTTGATAACTTCGTTATTTCATCTTTAGAAAATTTCCATTTTTAATATCGTCTGAACACAACTTTCGAAAGCAAACACACTGCATTAATTCAAATTGCCACAATTATTTTGTTGCAGCAACTAATTAGCCACACATATAATCTGATAGTCCTTCAATTGTTTTCGTCAAGCTCAACTAACGATAGGCTCAGGAAGCGTGCCGTTTTGACGGAACCAGAGGTAGTGGGATGTTAGTTGAGTTGAATTGCGTTGGCAACTGAAGAGGTGGTTGCAGTCGTGAGACGAACGTCCAAATCCCGGAAGTAACCTCGTACGTTGGAGTCTAGTTTAGACAAATAAGAGTTTAACCTAATATAAGCCGTCATCGATTCATCATCAGTTAGCGAGTGGCGAAACGAACGAACTCAATGAGGTACAACCAAACTCGCTATCGTCTATCCGTGCTAGCTAACTTTGTTGTTGCTTTCGCATGCAAAATTCTTCTTAAAGCGACCGGAACTCAAACATAGCGAGCGAGAAGTGGCGAATCGATGACAGCTATAGTATCCAGATCGCAGCTGAGCCACAGTTACGCGGTCTACAGGTGGTGAGTGTACTCCTATGACGCCATTCACAGAACGGGAGATAGTGAAGGTGGTGGCAGTCTCTGTGAATGTCGTTTATTGCCTGTAAACAGAGGGCCGGGTGTAGAGGTTTATTACGTGTATTGTTGGACCTCATCCTCTAGTTCGCCCTTATGGTCTCATAAGTACTCACCCCTATTGCGAGTGTCGACCAGTAGTAGATAAACGGCTATTATTCGAGTATCGAGTATCCAAAGTTGGCCCTATCACAATTTTCACATCAAAAAATATACCCAAAAAATAATAAAGCAGAACAAAAACGTTTATTCCCAATTTCTTGTTTTTCCTGTTAAGTTGTGGGAATGTTTTATTCACATGGAATTGGCGATAGGGCTGAGTATGTATTTTCGATGTCGTTTTCTCATTCAATGAGTGTGAATTGTATTTAGACGCTCATCTTTCTAAAACAAACGATTGTAGAAGGATGAACGACTAAAAACTGTTCAAAGTCGCTTATTGATGGGGAAATCCACATTCACCATACCAAGGAAAAGCGATAATCGAATATTAGTCTTTTATCTACTACTAGTCGACACTCGCAATAGGGGTGACTGCTTCAAACCTTCCCTTATACCGCATTATAATTTTTTTTTTACTTATACTTGTGTTTCTTTGGGTTATCCAGCTCAGTATCACGATCACTTCTCACGGAAACGATCTGGATCATTCTTGTTGGGGTTGGCAGCATTTTATACTACTAGCACGAGGAAGACGAAAATATTAAAATGAACTCACTAAATGTGGAACATATTTAACATAAAGGCAATTTATTTGAACCAAGTAAGACTCGTTAACTTACGAGAAACAAATGGCAGAATATCTGTTTGTGTATACATACAATCATTTGTCTGTGCTACCAAACCCTGCGGCAACCATATCGTTGTTGTTGCATCTGGGTGCAAATTTCTTATCCGGATCCCGATCATTGCCCAAGGACACACAGCAACTGTTTTGTTCACAAAAAACAGCTAAAAAGAAACTTAGGGCATACCAATACGGCATTACTAATGCATATCTAAATTTTTTTGTTCCCAAAATTCCTGTTTTAGTTGGGCAACTAACTTCATTTCATCTGGGTTTATTCAAGATTAAAGAGCAAAAAATAGGATAAATTAGTCAAATTATTGGAGGGCTGGCTGCAGACCGAATCCAGGTCCCTTTGGTTCCTCACTCAGAGATGTGGGCTCGCCAGCAGGTTCGCTGGCAAAACGACCGCTACGTGGACCAGGTGGTGATGGTTTTCCCGCTTTGAAATCCGCTAATATTTGTTGCATGTCTTTGACGGTTAAGTCTTCCTGCAGTGCAAAAAATATATTATGTATATTTCTTAGAACAATAAAAGTTAACGTAAATGCTTAGTGATACTCACATAATAATCGTCATTAATGGCGACCATTGGTGCATTAACACAAGCACCCAAGCACTCTACTTCAGAAATGGTAAACAGGCCATCTTTGGTCTTTTCACCTGGTTCCACACCCAAAGTTTTCTGCAATAAAACGAGGTTTATGAATTGTCGAAAAATACCTTTTTATGGATTAATAAAATAATACCTTGCAACATTCCATAATTTCATCAGAACCACGTAGCCAGCATGGTGTGGTTGTGCATACTTGTATATGGTATTTGCCAGTGGGTTGACGCAAAAACATTGTGTAGAAAGTAGCGACTTCGTAAACTCGCATATGAGATACTTCTAAAATTTCGGCAACCTTCTGCATGGCCGAGATGGGCAACCAACCATATTGGCGTTGCGCTAAATCGAGCAGTGGGATCATGGCGGCGCGTTTGTAACCCTCTGGGTAAATGCTGATAATAGCTTCAACACGCTTTTATGGATGAAATAGGAGATCATGAGACTTAATTAAAAACTTGCAAAACACGATAGTTGACTGACCTTCTTATTCTCTGGCGTAAACTCGAATTTGATGCTTGGGTTGTCTTCCGGAGTGTCGCGGTGCACGAAGAGATGATCACTGCGTTGCACTGCGCTCGTGGCAATAGTGCGCATACTGCCACGCTATACCGTAAATGTAAAATACATGAAACAATTAGGAACAAATTATTATTTTTACGTTTTAAATTACATAACGAGCCGTACGTACCGCTTTCATGGCAAACAGACGTTAAATATTGTGGTCAATGGTTTCCTTTATTACAACTTACCACTAAATTGATCGACCTTGCTGCACAGCTCGAAAGCATTTTAAGAATTTTATATCGAAAACAAATTTGTAAGAAAATATCGTTTATACAGCAGCTGCAATGCAATCGTCCTTTTTGTTTGGTTGACCAAATGACGGCCCAGCTACCATCAGCTTATTGACGTTTTTGACATTTTATAAACAGCTGATCGGTGATTGACAATCGCAAGCTTCTGTAGGTCCTTTCCAGTACAATCCATTGTAAAATGAATACAGAAGGTGGCGCTGATTGTAGTTGCGTTCGATAACAAAATTAGCCAACACCAACCAACAATCAAAATCAAGAGCGTAAGCGAAAATTCTCTCCCAAAGAGAAGAAAAAGCAAAAAAGTAAACGAACAGGAAATTAGCCATCACTTGCAAAAACCAGAAGAAGAAGACACACCAGCTGACTTTGTTTATGTTTTATTTGTAAACAAACTAAAATTCATGTTTCCTCCATGTAAGAAAAAAGGAAAGTGAAAGAAGTAAAAACTAGTTGGCACCATGATAAAAACATAACAAGGTAAAACCATTGAGAGGCAGTCTGAC